CAGCGCGCTCGGCGGGCCCGCCGAGGTGTCGCAGCCCTGCCGCCCGTGGGCGCCTCGCGGGGGCCCCGTGCGCACACGACGCAGCGCACGCCACATAATAATATGAGAGCCCCGAATCATCCGGGGTAACTCGGGTCAGGGCTAACTCGGGTTCCCAGAGTCCCAGTTGATTCGGGCGCCCAGAGCCCCGAATCATCCGGGGTAACTCGGGTCAGGGCTAACTCGGGTTCCTTTTTCGGGAATCCGAACCCGAGTTGCCCGGGTCCCGAGTTACCCCGGATGGTTCGGGCGCCCAGGGTCCCAAATCATCAGGGGTAACTCGGGTCAGGGCTAACTCGGGTTGGTTTTTCGGGATTCCGAACCCGACTTACCCGGGTCCCGAGTTACCCCGGATGATTCGGGCGCCCAGAGTCCCAAATCATCAGGGGGAACTCGGGTCAGGGCTAACTCGGGTTGGTTTTTCGGGATTCCGAACCCGACTTACCCCGGACCCGAGTTACCCCGGATAGTTCGGGCGCCCAACATAAGTCATGACACTCAGATTGCACCACGTAGCTTGCACCGCACAGCTGACATCGTGCAGCTTGCACAACGTAGCTCTTTTCGCAGGTACTGCGCTGCAGTAGCACGCACCACGTAGATGGCGCCGCATAGTTTTACGCCGCATCGATCGCACCGCATCGATTACGCCGCACTGATCGAAATACATAGCTCGCACAAAACAGATCGCGCCACAGATTGCACCACATAGTTGTTCCCCTGTTGCTCACGCTACAGATCGTGCAACACATCTGCTGCGCCAGACAGCTCACACCACACAGCTCACACCGCACGGATCACGCCTCATAATACATCATACTGGACAGCTTGCACATCCACAGTGCAACATTTCACTGTTCGGGGTCCACGCTGGCAAACATTGTTTGACTTATGTTTGCCCCGGGCCCCGAGGCGGCCCCTGGACGCCGAGCATTGTGAGCAGCCTCCCGCGCGACTTCCCTGAGGTCGTTCAGAGGCCGAGGCATCGCCCCCCCCCCCAGCCCCGCAATGAAGTGCGGCGCCCTCGTCGCCCTCCTGGCGGCCGCGGTGACCCCGCGCGCGAGCGCCAGCCTGCGCCGCGGAACGCTCGGCGAGCAGGAGCAGCAGCCGATCGTCACAGCGAGCGCCGGCGAGCTGAACAACGACGCAAATTTTGCGGTTTCCGCGCAGGACGCGACCCCGGCCAGGCCACCCAGCTACGTCGCGAGGGCGATGAAAAGGGGAGGGAGGAGGGGGGGAGGAGCAGGCCGAGGAGGAGGGAGGAGGAGAAGAAGGAGGAGGAGGAGGAGGAGGAGGAGGAGGACCACCAGCGGAATCTCAAGGATGCACCAATGATGCTGCAATGCGCCTTCCCGTCTCGAGTCCCTGGCCCTTGCAATATGTTGATCTCGCCACGGGAGGCAGCCCCTGGAGAGGCGAGCGCCCCATGGGCGTGCCATTCAGGCGAAAGGTTTTTTGGGGGGGAGCAGGATCGCCCTCCGTCCCCCTTGGGTCTGCGGGGTGCAGAGAGGGAGGGGTCACAGTTGTCAAAAGGAGCCGCCTTCCAGTCGCGTAACTGCTGCGCAACTACAGACTAGCCAACGATCACAGAATCAGAGGAAGTCTCACATGAGAGCCCCGCTTTGAAAAAGGAGCCGCCTCCGTGCGTGGAGCCGTTCCGCCATCTTCAACTCCTGACTTCAAATGTATGAAGAATTACAAGCGCGAAACACAGTTTGGAAACATGCAGCCCTCCATCCGTCTAGCTGTTCCATTAGGAAGAATGTGCGCGGTGCGGAGGCGAGAGCCACATCATGAAGACGATTCGCCCTGCATGTGTAAAGCCATTGGATACTTTCAGAGGAGGAGAAGGAGGAGGAGCACGAGGAAGGAGAAAGGAGGAGGAGGAAGAGGAGGAGGAGGAGCAGGAGGAGGAGGAGGAGGGGAAGGAGCGGAATGAGGCGGAAGAGGAGGATGAGGGGGAGGAGGGGGAGGAGGAGGAGGAGGAGGAGGAGGAGGAGGAGGAGGAGGAGGAGGAGGAGGAGGAGGAGGAGGAGGGGAGGGCGAGGAGGAGTACAGGTGAGCAGCACGAAGAGGGTGAGCAGGGACAGTAGTAGCAGAAAGCAGGAGAAACATAGTTCAGGAAGGACGGAAGGAAGGATAAGGACAGTTATGAGGAGGAGGAGGAGGAGGAGGGATGAAGGTGACAGGATGCCGGTCGATGACGAAGCGGATGGGGAGGAGGACCAGGAAGAGGAAAAGGTAGAGAAGAGGAACGAAGAGGCAGGAGAGGGAGGAGCCGTTGGATTTCCTAGACCTCCGTGGAGTGGACATCTGTAAGGCGCCCTCGTGCCTTCCCCCTCTCTCCTCACTCCTCTTCCTTATTGGGAGCATTGGGAGCAATTCTGACCAGAGGATGTTTGCTCATCTGTTGTGGGAACGAATCTACCAGGCAAGCTTCCCGAATTTGCGTGCGGGGCGCGTTCGGCCTCGTGGGTCCTGGGAGACAGCCTTCTCACGCGAGATGTTGAGGAAGGCGATGATGCCGATCTTGGTGAGTCCTCGGCTCTCTCCGAGGCGTCGGGCTGGGTGGCTCGAGTTGCCCCCTTGACCTTGGAACATGGCCCCATGCCGCTCGCTCATCTCATCTCACCCCTCCCCGTCCTCCTGGATGAGGACCTGGCATCGCTCGGACGTGTGCATTTTTTCTCGGCGAGAGCCATTGAGGACGGTCCTGGACCATCGAGCAAAAAAAACACGCACGACACCGAAAAATGCACGGGAAATGGACGTCCGAGCGATGGCGAGAGGAGGGAGGCAGGAAGCCAGACGGGGCCCTGGTGAGGCCGCCCGGCTACCGCGCAGCCTGGGACGACTGCGGCGGCGTGGGCGCTTCCGCCACGGAGCGCATGCGGTCCATCTCGGCCAGGACCCTGCGGCTGCTGCGGTTGCGTGCTGCTCGCCCCTGTTCAGCCTCTTGCCGCTGCTGCTGCTGTTCCACCTCCCTCCTTCTCCTCCCTCGCCTTCTCCCTGGCCCTTCGCTTCTCGCTCCCTCCCTCCAGCCGCTTCGTTACCCCATCGCCCTCCTCCTCTTCCAGCGGCCTTTTTCCCTTGCCTTCGCCGTCTCCGAGCCCCTCTTCTACTGCCCCTTTCTCGCTGAGTTGCCATCCTTGGCTCAAGTCTCGGCTCGAGATCGCTCGCGCTCAGGGCGAAACAGGGACACGTGACCTTCCGCGCCCTTCAGCTCGGTGAGACCGTGACCGTATCAATCACACGGGACTGATGCGTTTCACGTCCTTCCATGCAACGCGCGCGCGCGCCATGGTTCCGAGAGGCCCTCGCCGTGCGCCCCCTTGCACCAGGGCAGCCCAGGCCACCAGGCGAAGAGGCCTTCCGAGGGCTCCCTCGACGCATCGACCAAGCCCCAAAACCTCAGTCGAGAGGAAATTTGCGTACGCGCACTCCAGAGTCGGGGAAACGCAAGACCCGAGAAAGCCGGAACTCGGGTTTGCCGACGTTTTTGTTGACGAGCGCGTCCTGGATTTTGACGGTCCAGTTTTCGTGGGATGTCTGCTCGCGTCAAATTTCAGATTGGGCCTCGTCATTTTTATGATGGCCCCGTCGGGCCAACCCGAGTCCCCCGTACCCGAGTCTTACGTCTCCCCGACAGAGTAGTGGGGGCGTCGCCCAAGCAGCCGGTGCATACACACAACGAATCTGCTCACAAGCATCAAGCCGATCCCGACGCCGTTTGCCAGCAACGCCGCTCCGACCAACGTAATTAGGTTCAGGGGCGAGCTAATAACCGAGCAGTCGGTGCATACAACGAATTTGCTCACAAACGTCAGTCCGATCCCGACACCACTTGCCAGCAACGCCGCTCCGACCAGCGTACTTAGGCTCAGGGGCGAGCTAATAAGATTGTGCGGGGAAACACTCAGAAGGGGAAAAAACACACAGACACAATGAATCGTCGATTCCCCGGAAAATCTGGGAAAATATGGGAATTGGGCGGGAAGACAAAAACCCAGAAAATATGGGAAAATCAGGGGAGTATTTTTATTTGTGTGTATTTGTTTGTGTGTCCCAGGGCCCCTTCAAACAAGGTCGCCTACGCCATGCTGCGGCACTCCCCCACGCGCGAAAAAAAAGCTCATACGGTGGCCCACCAGGGTTCCACGGTCGACGCCGATGCCCCCAGGACAACGGCGAGGTCTTTCTCGTCAGGTTGGATGCACGACGTCGAGTCGCTGTGTTTGACAGCCCCAGGGGCAGAAGCTGGCCCCCAGAGGCAAACAATGCGGAGACAGCCCAGCATTTTTCCTTCGGCGAGGACCATCGAGGAGCATCCTTGACCATTTGGCGAAACAAACACGCACGAAACCGAAAAAAACACAGGAAATCGACGTCCGAGCGATGGCCAGGGTCAGAAGTTGCCCCCCGGAGGCAAACAAGGCGGAGACAGCCCAGGCTCGATACTTCTGCGTCCATGCCACGAGATCCGACGCCTCGAAGGAACGACACGTCGTGGAAGTGGCGACCAGAGCCCCAGCCCAGACTCGATATGTCTGAGTCCCTGCCATGAGATCCGACGTCTCGAAGGAGCGACACACATCGTGGAAGTGGCGACGCCAGAGCCCCAGACCTCCTCTCTCCGCGCCACTCCCCGAGCCAGACCGACGCGCGAGGGCCCCGGAGGCCCGAGGCCCGGGCGAGAGCGCCCAGCTCAGAACATCGGATCGCCAGGGTCTCGGGGTGGAGGTCTGGGTTCCCCCCCCTCCCCGGCCGCCCCGCCCACGAGATGCTCTCGGAGCATCTCTGGCGGAGCCTGTCCTGCTTTGTCACATCGGGCTCACGTTCCGGGAGCAGTGCTTTTGGTCTTGGAAGTGTCTGGGGGTTCTAGGGACACCTCGTGGTAGGACTACAGGAGTGCCGGGACGGTCGGTCCCTGCTCAGCCCCTCCCCGACCGTCACGCCGTCAGGATCAAGGGCTGGGCCAAGCCGCTGCCCTTCCAGCGCCACGCGGCGCAGGACTGCGGGCACGCCGCGGCCGACGAGTTCGGCACGCTGCCCGGGCCGGGGCAGCAGGTCGGCGGCGAATTCCGCGCCCTACCCTGGCCGATCAACGATTCAGGCAACTCGATGGGCGGCGGGGCGGGGTTCGGAATTCGGCGAACACGGGCCGAAATCCGAACCCTACCCTCGGTTCCGATCGATTCAGGAGAATCGATTGTTGGCGGGGTTAGGGTTCGGATGTCGCCACCGATAAGGTCAATTATCCAGGGCCAGAGGTGCACGCTGCGCAGGACGCCCCCAGCTTCCACACTGCTCGTGTTCGTTAGGTTTCGGGCCCCGGGATTATCTCAGATCGATCTGGCTCGAAAAATGCCACAGAGTGATGGGTTTGAGGCCCCAGAACCATCACAGATCGATCCTGCTCGACAAATGCAGCACAAAGATGGGGTCTAGGTCTCCAGTCGTGATGTTTCACGTTGTTGTTTTTGTCGCAACTTCGGATGTCGGGACAAGCGGGGCTGCGCACTATTTTTCAGTACTTTGATTCGGTGGGGCTATTTGTGGCCAGGGCTGAGCGCATCTTTAATCAGCGGCCAGGATTGTGTCGTGGCAGGGTCTAGCCATGCAGTTGTGCATACGTGATGCTGCTGCTGCTGACCGCAGACACGCTGTGATGCTCAGACGCAGGTTGTGGTGTTCGCAGGCACCTTGGTGCGCACAGGCATATCTCGGCCACTCGCAGAGGGGGTAGGGGAGGGGGGAAGGCTTCTTGGAAGGAGGCTGCTGCTCAGAAGGCGCGGGCCTGTCTATAGGTATAAGGACCGCGCCTTCTAAGAAGTAGCCTCCTTCTCAGAAGTCATTCCCCCTCCCCCTGAACCCCCTGCGCGCCGCCAAAGAAACACCGTCTGTCAACGACTGGGTGGGCGCGGCGCAGGACGCCGGCCTGAAGACCGCTGCCGACACGCTCGCCAAGTACCCGCTCGTGGCCAAGTAGGTCCCGGCCAGGGCCGAGCGCGCAGCGGGACCAGATTTCCCGCACTGCCAAGGTCGGGCGTTGCCGTGTTGCCAGAAGCGTCCTTGGCCCAAGGTGTCCCCTCGACTTCCAAGGAGACCCCCATAGTCAAGCAGTGGCGAAGCGTCCTGGCGTGCCCACAGTCCTACCAAACAGTGTTCTAAGAACCTCTTGTGGTTCCCACGAAATGCTCTTAGAACATTTCTGGTTGGGACTGTCTTGTTTTATCACATCGGGTTTATGTCATAAGAAGATTGTTTTTGCTCTTCGAACATTTTTGATTATAAGAACATTTCGTGGTAGGACTATAGGAATGCCGGGACGGTCGGTCCCTGCTACACATAGCCTTCACGGCACCCTGCCCGAGGCATTGAGGCGGACCCAGCGGCTCCCAAATGGTGGGAAAGGCTGGGGACACCCTGGGCGACGACAACTTCAAGCAACACCCGACAGGGGACGTCCCCTTCTCCCTCCTCCTCCTCCTTTCCCTCATCCTCCTCCTCCTCCTTTCCCTCCTCCTCGTAGTCCTCCTCCTCCTCCTCCTGCTCGTAGTCCTCCTCCTCCTCGTAGTCCTCCTCCTCCTCCTCCTCCTCCTCCTCCTCCTCCTCCTCCTCCTCTTCCTCTTCTCGCATGCCCCTGGTCTTGTCCCCATATATTCGCCCCCTCCGCCCCCGCATCCTCTGATTCGCCAACGCACCCTTGATTATCCCCCTTTTCGTCCGACCCGATCTTCTTCCTCCCTCTCCCTTCTTCCTCCTCGTCCTCCTCTTCCTCCTCCTCCTCATCATCTTCCTCATCTTCCTCTTCCTCTTCCTCCGTCTCGTCCGACCCGATCTTCTTCCTCCTCGTCCTCCTCTTCCTCCTCCTCCTCCTCCTCCTCCTCCTCTTGATGCGTCGGGCGAACTTCAGCCACGGAGCTGGCGCGCACGCCTCCTCCTGGAGGCCGCTCGGCTCATGACCGCCGCCGTGGCCCTGCGCGCCAGGAGGTGGGGCCGCCAACTCGTCATGAAGACCCATGGTCTCAGAGGGAGAAGCCCTGAGATCTTGGCGTTGCATTTTTGTTCACAACAGGTGTTCTCGCCCCGTTTCTGGCCCCAGGACCCTCACAGATCGATCCAGCTCGAAAAATGACGCAGAAAGATTGGGCCTGGGGCTCGGGTCGTGATGTTTCACAATGTTGCAACTTATTCGCGAAGTCGGATCTCAAGGAAGGTACCCATACCGCTACCCTTCCCTCGTTTTTGTTCCTTTTCTGAGCATCCTGGGAGGCCCTCGTCGCCACCGCTGAATTCGCCTCGAAATTCTGGTCAGAAGGCACCCCGGGAGAGGTCTGGGGAGCGGCAGTATCGGCACCTCTTGTTGTCCCCAGGTTCATGGACGTGGGGAGCTTTTTGTTCATGCGTTTTGTGAGTCCAAGAAAATCTGCGCGGACCCCGAAAGTTCATCTCTGATGCCGCTCTTCTTCTGCTCGTCGACCAGCTGGCGGCCCCCCGCGTGGTTACCTTTGTCGGCATTGCTTGGGGACCTTCCCTTCGCAGGTGTATTGCGCGTACAGAAAAAAAGCAGCATTATCCCTCTTCGTGCTCGCCTGCTCACCCCCACTTCGTGTACAGGCTGTGCCTCGGCCTCCTGGTCCTGATGCGCGTGGTCCATGATGTGGAAGCGAAGGACGGATGATAGTTGGATGGATGGCGATGGTGATGGTCATGGCGATGGCAGTGGCGATGATGATGATGTTGATGATGACGATGATGGTGATGGCGATGGCGATGGTGATGTTGATGTTGGTGGTGATGAGGATGATAATTATGATGATGGTGGTGATGATGGTGTTGATGATGATGCTGATGATACTGATAGTGATGATGTTGATGATGGTCATGGTCATGGTGATGATGATGATGATGATGTTGCTGATGACGGTGGTTCCGACAATGATGCGGACGATGATCTTTATGGTTAAGATATTGGTACTAGCCACAGTAGCATTCACATCAACAGCAGATGTAGTAGTATGAATCGCAGCAGTAGTAGTAGTAGTCGTAGAAACAGTAGTAGTCGTAGTAGTAGTAGTAGTAGTAGTAGTAGTAGTAGAAGTAGTAGTAGTAGTAGTAGCAGCAGTAGAAAACCAGGTAGTAGTAGTAGCAGTAGTAGTCGTAGTAGTAGTGGTAGTTGTTGTAGTAGTTATAGTAGTAGTACTAGTACTAGTACTACTACTAGTACTAGTGCTAGTACTAGTACTAGTACTAGTAGTATTAGTACCAGTAGTAGTAGTAGTAGTAGTAGTAGTAGTAGTAGTAGAGGTAGTGGTAGTGGTAGTGGTAGTGGTAGTGGTAGTGGTAGTGGTAGTGGTAGTGGTAGTACTACTAGTAATCGTACTAGTATTAGTACGAGTACAAGTACTAGTACCCGTACTAGTACGAGTACTAGTCGCAGCTATACTAATGTGAAGCGTGGTACATGATGATGATAGTGATGATGATTATGATGGTGGTGGTGATGGTGATGATGATGATAATGCTGACGATGATGCTGCTGATGATGAGGAGAAGGAGGAGGGTAGTGTTGATGGCTGTCGTGATGCTGATGGCGGCGGCTGCACTGATGCTAGCATTGATGGTCATATGACAATGGAGGGGCACAGGGAGGAGAAGAAGAACTATGGTGATCTCGGATGGGAGGAAGGAAGGGAGAGGTGGACGGGCAGCAGGGAGCGATACAAAGAAGAAGGAGAGAGGAGGCACGAGAGAGAATGAGGAAGGGGGCGGGTAATGATGATGATCAGGATGAGGGGGGAGGATGATGAGGACAATGATGAGGAAGAGGAGAGACGATAAGGAGGAGGAGGAGGATGTTGCTGATGATGGCTGTATTGAGACTGGGAACTGGGGATGCTGGCTGTATCGATGCTGACATTGATGGTCGTATGATACCTTAAGATGGCGAGGAGGATAAGGAGGAAGAGGGTACTCTTTCATGGGGAACGGGGATAGGGAAGGTGAAGGGGATGGAGGGAGCCCGGGGGGGGGAGAAGGAGAGAAGAAGCATGAGAGAGGATGGGGTGGATGATGATGATGACGATGCTAACGTTGATGAAGATGATAGCGATGACGACGATGATGATGATGATGATGCTGATTCTGATGCTGCTGGTGCGGATGATGATGATGATGATGGTGATGATGATGATGATTATCATAAGACGATGGTGATGGTGATTGTGATGGTGATGGTGATGATGGTGATGACGGTGGTGATGATGAGTATGGTGGTGGTGATGTTGATGTTGTTGCTGCTGATGATGATGATAGTGAGAAGGGGGGATGATGATGATGATTATGGTGATGATGATGATGCTGATGATGATGATGATGCTGATGATGCTGATGATGATGATGATGATGTTGATGATGATGATGATGATGATGGTGATGATGATGATGATGATGATGATGATGATGATGGGGGATGAGCTGGGAGGAGGAGGAAGAGTAAAAGGAGGAGGAGGAGGGGGAGAACGACTAGAACGAGGATGGTTAAGGAGGAGGATGAGGAGCTGGGATGCTGATGATGATTGTGGCGGCGATGATGGTGGTGATTGTGGTGACGGTGGCGGTGGCGATGATGATGGATGATGATGGTGACGGTGCAGATGATGACGGTGATGATGACGATGATGATGATGGCGATGATGAGGATAAACATGATGGTGATGATATGGATGAGAACGATGCTGATCATAGTGATGATGATAATGATGGTGATCATGATGACGATCATGAGTATGATGTCGTTCTCGCTGGTGTTGATGCTGTTGATGATGGTGACTGTAGTTATGATGACGATGGTGAACGTGAGGGTGCTTGTCATAGCTATCATGTTAATGATATTGATGGTGATGGTGATAGTTGATGTACTGGTGTTGATGCTGATGATGCTGATTCTGCTAATGAGTATGATCATGTTGATGAGGGTTAGCGAGAGCACTATGATTGTGATGCTGCTCATGATGTTGGTGTTGATGTTGACGATGCTAACGATGATATTGCTGATGCTACTGATGAGGCACCTGTCACCGTCTTGCAGGTGCTGATGCAAAACGAGTGTGCGCGCGTAGCATTTCTCTGCATAGGATAAAGGGGGGGCGGGGGGGCGACCCCGGTTTGGCCGGGGTCATACGAGTTCATATTCAGAATGAACCATAGGGGCATAATCATGTGTAAACTGCATATCCCTAGGGGGCGGATATTCCCGGCGTCGGGGGCGGGGGTGGTACAACTGTTTAGCAAGGAGAATAAATGTTGTGAAATGTATCTGCTGCAAGCTATACTGCGCTAGCCATGCTGCGCAATTTATGCTGTGCAATCTGCGTGGGGCAGCCGCTGTGGCGGCGATGGGCCAGCGCCGGGGAGGCGGCGGGGTGGTGCCAGGGCGGCGACGGCGAGCATGGGGCCGCCAGACCGACAGCCCCGCCCAGACGACGGGCAGCGACGAGGCGGCGACGGGACGGCGACGGCGACGGAGGAGGAGGAGGAGGAGGAGCACCCTCTCCAGGTTCTTGGAACACAGATGGGAAGCCCGAAATGCCCTGACCGAACAGGCGAGAGTCTCAAAGACCCCCCCGTCGTCCGCAGCCTCAGCCTCTGCATCTACTGTCCTCCTCCACCACCTTCGCCTACTCCTCCTCGCCTTGCCTCCTTAATCCTCCTCCTTCTCCTCCTGGAGAGCCCTGAACCTCCTCCTCCTTGGAGAACCCTAAGCCTTCCGTCACCATCCCCCCCTTGGGGAACCCTGGACCTCCTCCCTCTTCTCGAAGGCATATTCGAAACTTCTCTGGGGCTGCCACATATGAGGGGTACAGGCGGCCTGGATTAGCAGGTCGACCCTGCCAGATCAAGGACACCTTTGTGGCCTCTGCCTCGCGACCCCTGCTTCGTACATCCCGGTGGCGGTGTGGCCCTCGAAAGGGCCCCGTGTCCTCT